CAGCCCCGACCTCGCCTCCGCTGCCACCCACGGGCCCGAGGTCGCTCTCCACGGTGTGCGGATTCGCCCCAACCTCCTCCCCGGCCCAGACTTTTCCCAAGGTGAGACTCTGGGGTCACGGCTGTCAAACAGGTGACGCTCCCTGGAGCTGAACGCGCGCGCGCGCGCACACACACACACACACACACACACACAACCTTCTGGCTTATACACCGCCCCCCAAGTCTGCACTGACCTCCTAGTTACCAAAGCCAGTGAATGCTCTGCAGCTCCCCCGGATTTGAACCTGCTGGCCACGCCTTCCTTGAATGTTTGAGTACACAGTTTCCATAGTTGGCGCCACCTCCCCGCACTCCAAATTATGCACAAACCTCCACTAGAAGGCCAGGGTCCCACAGCCGCCTGCCTTCTCTCTCATTCTTTTTTTAAAATATGTTTTTATTGATTTCAGAGAGGAAGGGAGAGGGGAAGAGAGATAGAAACATCAATGATGAGAGAATCATTGATTGACTGCCCCCCGCCCGCCCCACGCTGGGGACCAAGCCCGCATTCCTGGCATGTGTCCCCTCCGGTGATCCAGTGGTGACCTCCTGGTTCATAGGTTGAGGCTCAAGCACTGAGCCATGCCAGCGGGGCTCTCCTCTCTCATTCTGCTGGCCCACTTTGGAGATCACTCACTCCCACGGTTTTAATAACCTTCTGCCTGCTAATGACTCTTGAACCTCATCTCCAGCCCAGATGCTCCTGGGGCACCTCTCCACTGGGGTTCTCAGGCCCATGAAAACCTATCCAAACTCAAACTCTTCATTTCCTTCCAGGATATGCCAGAGCTCCCGTCTTCACAACCAGGGGAGGAATTTCTGGCTGGTAGCCCCAGCCCCTCTCCCCAGGTCACATGTGGGAGACGCCTTGACTTTCTCCTTTTCATCTCTCACATCAAGTTTGTCACCAAGGCGGGAAATGAAACTATTCATTGGTGAGCACCCACGATGTCTCATTTAAGCACTGAGTTTTATTCCTTCTACCTGTAGCCTGATATTTACAATTTACTTATTTATAAATAATAAGCACATGCAACTGTATTAATAGGTATTATAAAGCACACTAAAAACCTTTAAAGGATTTAAAACAATTTTAAGTTACTTCATTTTTAACGAATGGTAAATACACCTTTTTCTTTTCACTTTAAAGTTATTAGCAAAAATCTGTTCGGTGATAGCAACATGATTAAAAAATGGGTTTAATAAATCTTAGTTCAATATTTTATGAGACTAGAAAGTATGCTTTTAAGTTCAGTTCATGTCAATACTTTGCCCTAATGGCTGTTATTGACACAACAAGATCTCACAAAGAAATAGACCCAAATAGAGGAATTACATCTTTGACTACTCTTATTAAATCACAATTCTCACTGTTTAAAACCCATCTATCAATTTTACAGATGTGAAATTCCACCAGAAAACTCTTTTGTCCATGAAGCTAATATCCTCAATGATTTTTTCATCAATTGTTCTTGTGAATATTGTTGACAATGGAATTTTTTTTATTTCCTAAAACTCTTCATTTGGAAGTATATTCTTTTTTAAATATATTTTATTGATTTTTTACAGAGAGGAAGGGAGAGGGATAGAAAGTTAGAAACATCAATTAGCTGCCTCCTGCACACCCCCGACTGGGGATGTGCCCGCAACCAAGGTACATGCCCTTGACTGGAATCGAACCTGGGACTCTTCAGTCCGAAGGCTGACGCTCTATCCACTGAGCCAAACCAGTCAGGGCTATACTTCTTAATTTTGAAGACTATGGCTATGACAGTCTTATAGATGACACTGACACTTCATTTTGGTATTAAAATTACATGATAATTTTGACAGTTCCAAACATCAACTTCTAAGTGCTTTCATGATAACATGATTCTTTTGTTAACGTAAAAAACCATTGAAACCTGTAAAGAATTTTTGTGAGTTTATTTGAGCCAAACTGTCGACATATGCCGGGAAGCAGAACCTCAACGAATTGAGATAGTGAAGTATGCTACCTATTTGCTTGCTTTAACAATGGACAGGTTATTTTGATTTTATGAATTGTATAAATCATCCCATTCCATTGAATGCCTTATTGATTGAATGACTGTCCCGTGGATTGTGATCTTACTGGTTATCGAAGCACATTCTTCTGTACCTGGGAACCAGGACGGCACAATTATCCCAAGACCTGAGGGTTCCAGATAATGTGTTTCTGTCAACTCAGTGGTTCAAAGACCCAAAACTATAATTAATCTTTGTAGATAACTAATCGGCTCAATCTTGCTTCTGTAACTGCTTTGTGCAAACCAGGGTCCTCATTCCAAACCCTGGGAT